AATTTATTATTATTTTTTAATTTTGTAAATATCCATTTGAAATTAAATTATAATATAAAATAAGTTTTTTTTTTTAATTTTTTTTCCTTTTTGATTGTGCATCAGTAAGACACGCAGCCCAGTTTTCACTGGACGGATGAATCATCCATCTCTCTCAGTGCGGCGTAATTGCATCTCACGCGCGACGACAGAAGGCAAGTCGTCGAGAAAGAGGCCACGCGGCGATTACGTTTTAATTATTTTCCATTTTACTCGGCGGCGCAGCATCTGCTGACGGAAAATGGGCTAAAAAGAGATCCAGCCGGATGTTGAGTGTAGAAAACGAATCATTTCACTGTCGCGGCGGCCCCCGGCGGGCCGTGCGCATTAGAATTTATACACGCGGTCGTTTTTTGTCGCGTAATTATAGCAAACTGAGTGAGAATTTCTCCTCTTTCATTCATGCTTTTTATTCATTCACGAGACGGCATCGACCAGCTTGAGGTCACGCCGCGCCGTGGACTTTCTGTTTTGTTTGATTTGGCACGATGGTGTACAATGTCGTGACCTTTGAACGGCGCCAAACGAGGAGAAAATACGTGCGAAAAACCAAGAAATTTCTCTCTGGAGCAAACGTGCGTCGAATGGGAATGATTTATTTTCCGTGAAGAATTTGATCTGCAACAATCTGCAATTTTCTTGTTAGTATCAAAAACGGAAAAATAAAATTTACAGAGAAGCCCTTTTAAAATTGTGCTGATTACAATTTCAAATTAACACTTTGCTCTTACTTTTAAAGTTAGTTTAACTTAAAATTTAATTTCTTTCAAACCATAAAATATTAAGAACTCCTCATTTACATGATTCAAAATACGTTATTTCAACAATAGTGGTTAAATTGTACAATAATTGCCACGATTGCTGTAAAGAATTGCTATGGCTATGCCGTGAAGGATTGACAAAAATTTAAGTTATTCTATAATATTAAAAAGCTGAAACTTTGAAATTTTATTAGATGTAAATTATATTTTTATTATTTTGATTTTTTACAATTGAAGGAAAACAATTACACCAAAACTTAAGGTTTTCTTGCTTTTTTTACAGAATTACAAAAATAAATGTATTTCTTTACAATCCTAGAACTGTGTAAGCAACTTAAGCAAGTATTGATAATTTGCAATTTGGAAGCGATCAGTTATAAGTTTGCACTCAATGAAAAAAAGCTAATTTGTTCCAACCCAACCGCAAACGATCATATAAAATCACCGTGCCCTATTCGAGGCGTGGGCTCAAGGAATGCGTTTCATCTTACTGTTTTTAAGCCGTATGCATACATATAAGTTTATGCTGTGCCTTACACTGGAAAAAATATGTGGTCATTATCGCACCCATGCTCTAATTTGCCACATGGCAAAAGAGAATTGGCTCGCGTAACAGCCGGAACGGAGCAGATAGATTCGCCAGCGAGAGCAGAGAGATATTCTTGGCTCGCGAGACCGCTAATTAAACGCCTTTTTTGCACACCGCGAGTGGAATTCTCTGCGCTCAACGGGTCACTGAAACGGATGATTGGGCCCAAGGAAAATGCAAAACGTTACAATTGATGACGCAATTTTCAAAAGTTGCAAATGGTGCAGATTCACTCAGATTTATAATTAATATTGAATCAGGCAATATATTATAATAACATTAATGACCATTTACTAAATTTACTGCGTCTGTGTAATGGAATGGGATGGGATTGATAACCTTCAAAATTTCACTTAGAGAAAAAAATTAAATTAATTTAAATTAAACAAATTTGAAGCCTTCCGTTATTGATATAATAATTTAAAGAAAAATCAGATCGATTAGACTATAATTAAGAAACTCATTTATATTAAATATTTCAAAAAAAAAAAATTTTTCTTAACTGCTTTTTGTTTCAATAAAAAATATTTTCTATGAGAAAACCCTGTTTCTTTATTGTTGGGAATTTGAAAAAATTAAAAAAAAAAAAAAAAAAAAACTCCTTGATTTCAAATCTTAATTTTTTTTGTGGCACAGAGCCAAAGTTGAAATGCCACAGAGGAATAACTAAGGCACTGTGTCTCAAGGGCGTGTTTTGTTTGTCGGCCGCGCCGTTTTTCCGCACTCATCTTGTCGCATTCCACGCGATGACGAGCGATGCTCCTTTTCTTTGCTTTCTTACGCTCCACCTTGTCTGTTTGTGGGTCGGATTGCGACAAGTGAAAAGTCACACCTATCGGAGGAAAAGAGCCAATGCAAATAAATATATAAATACAAAGACAGAAAGAATGGAGTTTAAAAGAGAAGAGCGAGAAAGAGAAAGCAACGGTACTTTTACGTCGATACGTACTGACCTTGCTCGAAATAATCGCGCCACACGCACCGAATTCCATCTTTGTCAGGCGGAGGAAGAGCTTCCTCTCAATCAGACCGCGAATCCGCGAGCCCCGAAAATCTCGACCAACGAGCGGAAAAAGGTCCCTCGCCAATTAATCCCGCTGATTATCTCTCTCTCCTCAAAGCTGGTCCGGGTCAAACGCGCCGAGTGACGACAAGCCAGCTACGGAAGTGGCCCATTTTTTTACAAAGAAATTGGACGGAATTTGGAAGCACGCGTGTGTGAATATTTGAAGACTTATTCTCGCAATTCTTCCGCTTTTCTTATTGGCCTTCTGCTCTATTATTTGGGAATTTTCGCCCTTTGTGAAAGCTAATTGCTTGTTACCGAGTCAATTACTCCTAATTTCTAATGACTAACCTCAAACTTTAACCTGGAAATAAGTCTAATAATGAGCCAAAGTTATAATTTGTGTAAAAAAGCAGATTTGTGATAAAGAAGGAAAATTAAAAATATACGAAATATACAACATTTTTTATGATTTTTTGCAAAATGAGCTTTCATAAATAAATTTTTGTGTAAATAAAAAAAATTTCATTACAAAATAAATGATTAAACTTTTGCTCTCTGTTCACCAATTTCACTCTCTTCGTGTCCGTCTCTCTCGATTTCATTGTGTCACCGCTTCGTTTGTTTTTCAGCTCTTTTTGTGGTGCATCTCGAATGTAATTGCGTTCGCCACAGCAGTCGCTTTCGGTGATGTTGTCACGAGAGCAGCCGCGTGGAACCGACGTGGTGCTCTTCTCTTTTTTCGCATAAAAGAAAAGAGGCGCCCGCGAGACAAATCGATCAAAACGTGTGGTTTTGCCAATTCATTTTTACTATTCGACTCTGTGGTTTTAGCGCTTTGTTAATTTAAACGTTAATTTATGTGTGGCTTTGGAGACGTGCTTTGTCATAAATTATTTTCCTAACAACAAATTGATTGCTTCGGGTGGCACCTAGAAAACGGAATAATTTCTGCGAGGTGTGAAATAAAGATCAGCGGATGGCAAGACGAGTGCTAAAATTGGAATGATTTGCATTTTTAATGAAGAACGACCTCATTCTAAATGTGTATGCCCAGCCCATCAATGCAGTATGAGTAATCATGGAGATGAGAAGCATTTGATTTTTTGCAGTTATATTTAACTTCTTCAATTTCCAGTTAGAAACCAAAATGAGCATAAAAAGTGCAAAAATTAATATGACGATTTATTTGAAATGCTGTAGAAATTGCGAGTTCAATAAATTGTTTCTTAAATTTCAACATTTAATTTTTTCAACCCAATCCATTTTTAACGAACAGCTCATGATATCTATACTGCGTATATTAAACTTCTCAACCTTTTCGCAGAAGATCAATGCAAATATTTCATATCAATTTAAACTATAATTATTTTATTTTTCCATCTTACTTAGGGTGATGCATACGTGATTTGGAGAAATTTTTATCAATTTCGGTGAGGTCCATTTTAAGAAAAAATTATTTTAGAAAATTCCCATAAGAAGAAATGTTAAATTTAAAAAAAAAAAAAATATATCAGTTTTCCCAGAAATTCAATTATTCTTGCTATGAACTAACAACAAAAAACGAAAGCTAATGTAGAGAAAAATTACCAGTGAAACAAATCGGGGCGTTTTTTAGTTTCAAATGAATATTTATTGGGTTCCAGTGAGGGCAACTATGCCCCATAAATGAACTCATCCAAATAAATGACAAAAACAAAATTTATATTTTTATTTTGCAAAAGTCTCTCCTTAATCAAGTGCTACTGATTTATTACAAAGTATTGGTTTAGGCTAATTCTGCAATTCATTACAAGTGCAAGAACAAATGTGAAAAATTTTTATTTCCAGAGAGCCTGAAAACTAATTAATAAAATCCAATGAAAAAACGGATGATTATTGAGTGATATTTAGCATATAAAATTAGTAAATTGAACATTAATTTCTTATCCACAGAGCGTCTTTGACAGACAATTGATGTGTTATTAAACACCTCTACGCTTTATTAAAATTTTGAGAGATATACTTCACTATATATGAATTTTTTTTAAGTACAAAAAAATTTGAAATATAATTAAAAAAATTTAAATGATAAAATATAATGTAAAGTAAAATAATAAATAATATCATAATATGTATATTAAATGTTAAGTTTCATTATCTGTTCTGTAATAAGATAAATAAAAAGTTTAAATTATAAAACTATGCTATTAATATGATTTTTATATGCTTTACGAGAGCCATTATGGTACTTTTGCTGAATGAGATTTCACCGCGCGAAATCCATTTCAGTGAAAGCAAACCGGCCACGTGCTGTTGGATCAGATCGACAAGAGGAATCGCAAAAGCGACTCGTTGATTTGGGGCGACTGACGTGCATGCAAATGCGCGCGTTCGGTCCACATACGTATTTGTGCTGATTTCATCACACTGAAATCTCCACAGCGCTGACAATAAAAGAAGAAGAAGAAGTAACGAGACGGAATAGGAGGAGCAGTGTCATCCGGCGTCCATCGGCGGCCCACTTTACCCGCGAGTTTCGGTTGATTTTCATGCGAGCGCGTCGCCGGGTGGGCAGACGCCCCTCCACCTGCCGCAACCGAAGAATAAAAAGACAGGCTGGCCTGAGGATCGCTTACAACTATCTCGTCCGCTCCACACACGTTCCGCCAGCAAAACCATGAGGTTTATTGTCGTGCTCAGCTGCCTGGTGGCGGCCACCGTGGCCGCCGGCCTGCCCGAGGCCGGAGACACCCTCGGCTTCGTCTACCGCGTGTGGGACGATTGCAACAACAAGGCCGACCTCGACCTCGCCTCCTGCCTCAAGGTCAAGTTGGCCACCGCCGTGAGCCGCGCCGCCCGCATGAACGACCTCACCGTCTTTGACGGCGTCACCTTCGTCCGCACCGCCCCCAACGACGCCACCCCCGAGACCTCCGAGGAGGCCGTTGAGGCCAGTCTGCCCCGCAGCGCCGACGCCCGCGACGACACCCTCAGCGCCCTCATCCTCGAGCGTGCCGCCCAGTTCTTCCAGACCCACTCCCTCTCCGTCAAGGTCCCCGAGTTCGCCGAACGCAGCCTGTCCGCCGGTGATGGTGAGTTGAACAAAAATTAAATTTTTCTAAAAAAATAATTTTAATATGTAAATTTCCATATTTAATATTTACTTTGTTTGGTATTTTAGCCCGTGGAAAGATCAAGAAGATCGCTCCCCTGCTGCTGTTGCCCCTCCTGAAGGCCGGTCTGCTCATCCCCCTGGCCATTGGCGCCCTCTTCCTGCTCGCCGGCAAGGCTTTGATCATCAGCAAGCTCGCCCTCCTGCTCTCCGGAATCATCGGCCTGAAGAAGCTGCTCAGCGGCGGACACGGACACGTCGAGACCGCCTACGTCAGCTCCGGCGCCGGACACGGATGGGGACGCTCCGAGGAGGCCCAGAACTTGGCCTACAGCGCGCACGCCAACTAATTTATTTCGCGACACTCAAAAAAATTAATTCCTAGCCGATAAGTGAAGAAGAAGAAGAGTCCCAACGACCGAGACGACTTTACCCCCTCCCCTTTAATTTATTGATGTAATTTATTTAAGTCGACCAACACACCAGACACACTGATGAACACACCACACACCGCAATAGTCCTCTTTTTTATACAAAACACCTCTACTTAATTTATTATTTTTGTACAGAATAAAAAAAGCTCAGAGACAAATGACAAAGAATGCCTGCGAAACCGTACCTGTACCTGCATTTTATTCCCATCACTTTCCCTATTAAAAAAAAATTTAAAAAAAATCAAAATTTTTGATTAGAAATTTAGTTACAATTATTTAAATTCAGAAAATAGCTGGCGTCACACTGACCCAGAGTCGCTTCGGAATCCGAAATGAATTTTTTCCTCCATCGCTGAGAGGCCGTTGACTTTTGAGTCATCATGAGACGACGGGTCACGTGAGTGATGCGGTGCGAGCAGATCAGGGGCCGCCGCGGGCGACGAGGAGCAGGTGGCCGAAAGTAGGTGAGCCGGTGTCCGGTGCCCGCGTCTAACAGGATCTCCACACACACACGCGCGCTCACACCCAACAAGGGCACCTCTCGCATCCATTTCGGAAGCTGCCGCTTTTCGCGAGAGCTGAAGAAGGTCGCATCCGGAAGTAAAGAGAAAATGCGCATGAAACGAAATCACCGCGATTCAATGGGAGATTTTAAAGCCTGTTCTCGCCACTTCGAAAAAAAATGAATAAAAGGAGTCATAAAATAAACGTCTTCTTTTAATACCAAACAAACCCATTGAAATTCACATCTTGTTTACCCTGTCAAAATTTTAACCAGAAGCTTGTTATTTTTGATAATTTTTTAAAACATTTCCCGACACTTTTCTGAAATTTGTCAAAGAATTAGTAACGCTTAAATTTTTAAATAAATAATGCTAATTTTTCTTGTGATTGATCTTTTTCGACAATTTTTTCTGAAGCGGCCTCTATGTTTTTCAAATTGTTCTAGATTATTATCTTTTGCACATTTATGCACGACCTTCTCGTTTTCACCCTTTCTCTTTCAAAATTGCAGTCTATTTGTATCTTTTGATCTCTGCTTGCCTTTACTCTCTCGTCACGAGTGCACCGTAAGGATGCAAATTAATATCGTTTCGCTTTCCACCGATCCGTATAGGAAAAATCAAACCCACCTAGTGCGCTCGCTGCATATCCTGTCCAAACAAACACACTGCACCCTGCTGACCCAGATGCACTTCACAGAAAAGCAAACATTAATGCATCTTCTCCTCATATGTCGTGTCCACTTTCTCCACCCACAAACTTCCACTGCACCTCAGCGAGTTATTTTTTTTCCGACCAGTTTTTTCCTCGTTTTGAGTGGCGTGTTATTTGTTTAATAATTCTTCCCACGTCCTATTTTTTCACTTATTTCTTTCTCTTTCCGTGTAAGACAATAATTGCCGTCGATTGTCAAAATATGTTCTAATGTCACTAGTGCATTTTTTCCTTCCCACAAAACATTATTTTAAAGTTGGTACTTTGGAGAGAAATTAAACGGAAGGTATGCAACCGGAAGGATAGGCGAGTAACGCGGGCTGCGGCGATGCCGTTTCGCAGACGAATCGGAGTAATTATGAAAAGTTGAAAACCGACCAGAGCGATTTCAGGTCAGAGGGTTTCTAATGGCGCGGAAATGAAATCGGCGGTGCTGCTCATCCTCCTTGTCTGCACTGATTTTCTATCGAGCCGAGTGATTATTAGCATTTGACGAGAGAAAGAGACGAGATCTCTCTTTTAAAACAAGTCTGCTTTTCGAGCACATCGGCGGTTCTCGGTTTCAAGTATTTGCAGCAAAGCGTCAATAAATTCTAAAAACAACTTGGAAAACTTTTTTACAACTTTCCAACTTTCTGAATGCATATAATTAAAAAAATTTGAAGGAATATTTTCTGAAATTTATTACCAGACGACAGCCTGTAGTTATTTTGAGCATTGTTTGCAAAAATTATTAAAATTAATTATCACTGATGTGTTATGTTTAAACTGATGTTTGTACAAGCGATGCCATTTATCTTAATGACAAGTCATAAATCTTTCAAATGCTCCTGTGTAATTTTCATCCTAATTGCACAATATCCTCATTTGTTCAAATATATTGTTACAAAAACCAAGTTTTGAAATAAAAACAAACACAAAAATTGCTCCAAAATTTTAAATTTAAACGCAATATCGCAGGAAATGCCTTTTAATTTCTTAATTATTTTAATGAAAATCAAGAATAAAGCAACGAAATTTATCAAAAATTAATATCCTACCTTTAGGAGGCCTTTTGATGTTGATCGATGTGTTTCAGGACCAGAGGTGATCCGAGGTGATGATTTCAATTTTCAAACAGCTGCTGAGTTCGCGACTTCAACTTCCCCATTTCAGTCCAATTTCAAACAAGTTCAAGAATGAAAAGCACGATCCTTTTGAAAGGAAAATCACTGAAAACTTGCACATTAAGTTCGGCCACTTCTTGTCAACAGTGATTGGCAACAATCATGTGTTTGATTGTTTGCAAATGGTGGCAGCAGCAGCGCTCCAGTGCGCTTGTGAGTGCAAGTGATACTAAAATTATTTTCTTATTTTATTAGCCCTTAGCTTTAATTTATTTCAGTCTGACGAAGGGTGTTCCAGAGGATCAAGAGACAGGTTAAAAGGTACACTTTTGCATTTAATCAGCATAAATTAAGGTAATATCCTAAAAAAATTCTAAGTTTAACTCTTTTTAATTTTTAAACTTTTTGTCGTCGCATAAAGAAAAAATGGTGCAAATAAATTTATCCTTAAAAACAACATTAAAAAAAGACACACTAAATAACAAACGTTAAAAAATTGTCTTTTTTTATTTTAAAATTCCAAATGAATTCATTTATTTAAAATATTTTCACTACAGGATAGGTTGAGACAAGTATTTCCTTTTTGTGTGAAGAATGTGAAATAATATAATTAATAATTGCAGCAATATTTTCACAATAATTTGAATTATTCAAAATTATTGGGAATACATTTTTCAACCAAGGAATGATAATTTTGTAAATAAATCTTGATAAAAATTTAACTGTGCTAAAAATAATTTAAAATGACAATAGCTATAATATAATTACATGCTTAAAAATCAATTCTCCATTAATCCTCTTTTGCCTGCATTTTTCAAAGAACCTGATCGCTCAAGAGCCAAGAGCCATTAATTTTTGGTTTAACCTGTTTAGTTTGAAAATCAGTTCAACGAACAAAGACAACCGCAAGAATAAGGAGCGGGCGGACACAAAGACGAAACCATGACCAAAAGTAATCGACTAAATACAAAAAGAAAGGAATACGATCAAACGGAAAACGAACCACAAGAAAGAAATTTGAAATTAATTTGTTTGGTCACGACCTGCGTTGGTGCACGTTTTCATCTGCCTCCGAATAGACTCCTTTTCATTCTCCAGATAAGAAAAAAATGCGTCGCGACAAAAGAATTATTATAACCCCACGTGTGCCACTTTCTTTCTTTCTTTCCATTCACAGCAATTGCGTCCATCAATCACCCACGGAGGCTGCATCTCATATTGTACCCTTCTTGATATTCTTTCTCGCGGGTAATAAAAGGTAACTGTGAATGCATCTCTCTCATGATGCTCAATATACGCGTTTGTTTATCACTTGCATACGCCTTCGACAAACACCGTGACGCTAATGGAGCGTCAATTCCGGCGAGGAAACCCCTTTAAATTCTCTGATTCACGTGCATGAATGTGTCTCTTTACAAAAATTTCTCGGACCCTCTTGGCCAGACACAGTTAGGTTAATGTTTTCTTTTCGAGACTCGACACGTTAGAAAATAATGATTTAGATAATTTGACGCGGCCGGCGGGCTTTTTCTTCTCCTTTAAATATCACTTTGATTTATGACGCGGTTAATTCTACGGGCTGAACCGCAAAGCCTGTGTCTTTGATATTATTAAAATAATAGACGCCTTTGCTTGTTTTGTACTAGATTTTTTCTACTTGATTGTTGATTAGTAAAGAATTCATGCTCGGGGTGAGTTTTCCATCTTCTCATTTTTAAAATGAAGCTCCTGAACTTTCTGACCGAGTTTTATTGAGTTATTATCTTTCAGATTTAACGTTGACGTTAGAAATTAAACGATTTATAGCATAATAGGAAAGAAGAGAATCCTGAAATTTGACTCCTATACAAAATTATTCCAGCATTCTGGCCAATTATCAAAGAACGGTGAAGCTGTCAAAAGTATTGGACTGATGTGAGGTTGATGACCAAAGGACACAAATCTGGAATAAATTTTAATGGAAAGAGAAAATTGTTTCTAATTTGTGTAAAACTTATTGTTTTAATGCATATTATAAATTAAGTAAATAATGGGAAAAAATGGAAAATTAACAAAGAAAATCGTTAATGAATAATCAAATATTAAATTAATAATGAAACATATTTTTACAAACTTGGAGAACATTAGCGTGTTTTATTTAAAAATGAATTTCCAGTCCACAAAACTACACTAGTTAAACTGGATTTTTGGAATTTTTTTCAGTTAAAAATAATTGCTCTACTTTTGAAACCATGAAGTTAAATAATCAAATTAATTATTTATTTTTCCTATTCTTATTTCGTCAATTTGTAAAACGTTCAAAGTTGATTTGATGGAATTAATATATCATTGAGATAGGAATAGGAAACGTCAATAATAATGCTTAATGTTTGGAAAGGCGCGATAATCACTCCCACAAAAAAAGCAATCTTTCACCTTTCACACACCTTAAGTGAAAAAGATACTATGCCTTCGAGCGACGTGTCTGATGCGTGTGGGCGTTTTTTATTTAGCGAATATTATGCCTTTATCTTTCCATTCTTCTTCGCCGGCGCCGCAAACATTGAAAGGACACAAAAAATATTACACAAAGAATAACACAGACTGGAGAGCAAAGTCGTGACTCGAGAAAGTACACGCGCGTTCAATTGAGAGGGACAGCATTTTCCGCGAGAGCATCTCTTCCATCTCTGTACTACGATGACCTGCATGTTTTTGGCCACTTTTGGACGAAGAGAGTAAAAATGGCCAGAGATCAGGATGAGCAAGAGATGCTGGTGCGGCCGTTGCTCGTCTCGCAACCGTTACAGACCCAGATTTTCGTCCTACGTTTCTCTCATCTGCGCTGCTGGCCATTTACGCACATTTCTCCGCGGCCCAA